CCTGGTGGCGCAGTGGCTGAGAGTCCGCCTGCCGATGCAGGGGACACGGGTTCGTGCCCCGGTCCGGGAAGATCCCACATGCCGCAGAGGGGCTGGGCCCGTGAGCCGTGGCAGCTGAGCCTGCACGTCCGGAGCCTGTGCTCCGCAGCGGGAGAGGCCGCAACAGTGAGAGGCCCGCGAACCGCAAAAAAAAAAACAAAAAACAGATGAGATCAACTGGAAATCCTGGTATTTAGTGTGAGTCTGCAGTCAGGCTCCCAGGCCTCAGTTTCTCCACTGGGAAATGGGCCAGTTTCTGCTGGATGTGAAGATTAGAGTCCAGAGAGACCACTGTCTATCAGAAGATTTGTCACAGTATATAGTCTGAGCTACAGGATGCGAAGTTGACACCTGTGATCTCCTTTGATTCTCAAAGCAAACCCAAGGCTCAGTTTATCATCCACGTTTTCATAGACAATGAATTTTCGTCACTCTAAAATCATGCAAGCAAAGCTTTCAAACCACACAGAAATGTATGAGGTAAACAGGAAAAATTCCACCCGCAGCTCAGCCCACTTCCCAAGGAACCCCTGTTGATAGGTGGGTGTGGAGTTTTCCAGATTTTGTCTGTGACGGTGCATGGTGCAGGTATATATTTTGAGTTTGTATCTCTATTTCCATATAGTTCAATACAGTGTATTAAAACAGCGATGTATGGGAATTCCCTGTCGGTCCACTGGTTAGGACTCTGCACTTTCACTGCCGCAGACCTGGGTTCGATCTCTGGGTGGGGAACTAAGATCCCACAAGCCGTGCAGCACGGCCAAAAATTCAAACAAACAAAAACACTGCAATGTAAATACTGGAGAAAAGTGGCTTTTCAATTAATGGTACATCTTGGACTCCCCGAGCTCGTACATCATCATCCAATGTTATGGATGAAGGAGATGGAGTCCCAGAGGTCATGGGGCTTGCTAAAGGTCACCCACTGTCGCGCCCCCGGTCTAGGACTTGACTTGGGTCTGCCTGTCCCACCCCCAAAGCGGGTCTTCTTCAGACACTGTACAAAATACACTTGTTCGGGCTTCCCTGGTGGCGCAGTGGTTGAGAGTCCGCCTGCCGATGCAGGGGACACGGATTCGTGCCCTGGTCCGGGAGGATCCCACATGCCGCGGAGCAGCTGAACCCGTGAGCCATGTCTGCTGAGCCTGCGTGTCCGGAGCCTGTGCTCCGCAACAGGAGAGGCCACAGCAGTGAGAGGCCCATGTATCGCAAAAAAAAAAAAAAAAAAAAATACACTTGTTCATTGTCCTTTCATGAAACACTCATTCAATGCTGGGGGTTTAAAGACAAGAAGGCTCAGGTGAAGGAGCTCTCAACCCAGGTGAGACAGGGCCAGGCTTGGACGCCCCAAGACAGGGGTGTAAGGGACAGACCTGGGGAAGCCAGAGGGGCAGCAGGGCCTCTGTCAGGGAGAGCAGGGCGGGCTGCCTGGAGGAGGAGACATGGGAAGTGGGCCTTGAAGGTTGAATGGAGGTCCGGCAGGCATAGTGGAGCCTGGGGGCAGGGTGGAGAGTCACCCCCACTGATGGCCAGCTGCACAGCTTAGGAGTTTCCCTAACACTTGACATCCAGGAGTAGGAGCCAATACTTGGCCCCAGGCCTCAACCATAAGTCCCAACAACAGGCTCAAAAGTTTGCTGCCTGGGCTTCCCTGGTGGTGCAGTGGTTGGGGGTCCACCTGCCGATGTAGGGGACACGGGTTCGTGCCCCGGTCCGGGAAGATCCCACATGCCGCGGAGCAGCTAAGCCCGTGAGCCATGGCCGCTGGGCCTGCGCGTCCGGAGCCTGTGCTCCGCCATGGGAGAGGCCGCAGCAGTGAGAAGCCCATGTACCGAAAAAAAAAAAGTTTGCTGCCTGCTGCAGCACAGTGCCAGCCCTACCCAGATGGGGAAACTGAGGCTCGAGCAGGCACTGAGACTTTGGAGAACTCATTGTGCAGCCTGAGACCGGGCTCTTCCCCTTTCTGGGCCTCAGTTTCCCCATCTGTACAATAGGACAGGACAGCTGGCAGAGTCATGTTTGCCTCCAGCCCCAACAATAACTGTCACCACTGCTCCTCCCCTCCGACTGTCCCCATGCCCCAAACACATGGGAGTTTGACAAGTTACCCCTGTCCTAGGGGCTGGACCCTAGGCCTCAGCCCCTCCTCAGTGGGAGGGGGGCAGTTTGGGGGTGTGACCCCACCCTCGGGCTGGCCAGGGAGGGGTGAGGAGGGCACACAGTGAAGGGGGTTACGGATCCTCAAGGACAACGCCTACTTCACAGGTGGGGAAACTGAGGCCCAAGAGGACAGGATATGGAAGGATCAGTAACAAAACCAGTCCCTCTAAACCCTCTCTAGGAGTGGTCCTGGATTACCCTGCAAATCGGCTGTACCATTTCACTGGAGGAAACCAGGCACATTGTCCCACCACCTGCTGTGGCAGGCTCCCCTTCCCCTCCCCCCAACTCCCAGCTGGTGCATATCCAGCCCTCATGATGCCCCTTGGGTGGGTGTTGGCCAATTACTGGATAGAGGGGGAAGTCAAGGCCTGGAGAGGCAGGGTCCCCTGCCCAGGCCGATGGGCCTCCTGGGAAAACAAGGTCACCTGCTGCAGCTGTGCTGGCTCCAGGACAGTCAAAATTGGAGGGAGGGCGTGACGGGGTTAGAGGGATCTGGGGGTAGAAGAGAGGGGTGGCAGCTGGACCTGTGTCCTGAATATAGTGCAAGGACATGGTCCGGAGGGGTCAGGGCTGCAGGTTCTGGTTTGCAGTGGAGCGCTTCCCAGGGTCCACAGCTCCACTACGCCCTGGCGAGGCAGGCATGGCTGGGGAAACAGGGGAACCCCCAGGGTTGACCCCAAAGTCGGATGACACAGGAACACTGGAGGGAGGCAGTGAGGTGGGGAGACCCCAGAAATGCCATTTGAAGGGCTTTATCCACAAAGGTGTTCTAACTGGGGCCAAAGTTTCGGGATAACCCATATGGCTACGGATGGGGAACTTGTGAGATAAATGACAGTCCAAGACATTGTTATACATAAATGTTTTTTGGAAAGTTAAGTGGAAAAAAGCAAAAGGCAAAACAGAATGTGAAGTATAATTTTCATTTTTAAGAAGGTCTGTATCTAAAATACGCCAATATATAAAATCATCTAGGGACTTGCCCGGTGGTCCAGTGGTTAAGACTCCATGCTTCCACTGCAGGGGGCGCAGGTTTGATCCCTGGGAAACTAAGAGCCCACATGCTGCGTGGCCAAAAATAAAGAAAATAAAATAATCTACACATAGGGACCTGATACCTGAGTGCTGTGGGTCGTGGAAAATTATCTTCCCACAGAACACACTTCTGTACCTTCTGACTTTAGCCAGGCATTACTTATTCACAAACAGTACTTGAAATCAAACTCATGTGGAAAGACAGTTGAGATGACGAGGAAGCAAGTCTCTAGGCGGCATGCATGGTAAGCCTTAAATTATTAAATTTATTTTTTATTATTTTTACATGGGAGTGGGAAAGAGGGGAAACCTCTGTGCTTTGTTCCGCGTATATCTGGGTCTTGCATTTTCAAAAATCTTTTACAAAAGAAAATGTACTCATGTTGCTTGAATGGGCACGTTTGCATGTATTACGTGTGCATGTTATGTAGGTCCGTGTGCAGGCATAGCAAAGGCCTGCTTTAACACTGGAGACTGGAGCTCCTCCGGCAGCACCCTCTGCCTCTCACGGTCCTGGTCCAGAAGGTTTCCAGGGAGAGGAGAGGCTGTGGGGGGAGGACGTGGAGGCGAGGGGCCCTCCAGGCTGAGAATGGTATGTTCAGGTTCCAGTTAGCCCTAAATGACAAGGTAGCAGAGGAAGAAATCCTTCCCAAATCGCAGAGGGGAAACTGAGGCCTGAGGTGGAGAGACCTGCCGGAGGTCAAAGCCTGAACAGTGTCCTGGGCTGGAGAACCTCATTCTGTGTGCCTTTGTCTAAGTGACCTTCCCCAGCCCTGCACAGTGATAAAGGAGAGCTGGGAAGGGGGTCTCCCAAGAGGGAGGAGGAGAATGGGTGGGGTCCTTATAGGTTCTGAGCAACTTTCTCAGGGAGCGGCACTAAAGCTCATGGTCAGACACCAACCTCCAGGGCTCTGGTGAAGATGACAGCAAATGTGTGGGAGGTTCTTGGATGACAAGAGCTCCCATCACGATCATATGGGTCCTCATCACTCCTGAGTGTCCTCTGGGACACAGTGAGAGGAGAGGTTCAGGGGTCTGACACCAGCTTCCCAAGAGGCCCTGTCTCCTCCTTCCCCCCCTTTCTTGCTGACAAAGGCCCCCCAAACCCTTCCTGGGCTCCCTGCTACCCCGGGCACAACCATATCCCAGGCTCCTGCCCATTACACTGTGCTCAGGTGGAGGTCCCTGCAGGTCCTGTAGGTGCCAGGCTTGCCCACCTATGTGCTCTTTACCCTCCCTCCTCACCAGAAGGGCCAAGGGGCTGCTGATGGAGGAATCATACACAGGCTGGGCAGAATATGGGAACAGCCTGGAGCTTTGAAGATGTCCCACAGGCCAGCTCCTAACTCAGGGAGAAGCCCAGGTGGGCCTTGGTCTAACTCTGGCAGCTCTAACCCCGACCCTGAGATCAGGGAAGGCCTTGAGGTGGGCAGCTCAGGTAAAGCGCCCATGTCCCGACACCCTCTCAAAGGCAGATTTCTGTACCCAGCAATAAACCCCCCTCTCTACAGAAAACAGAGTGGACCCACCCACTATGTTTGGCCCTGATCACTACCTGCTTTCTGGCACCCTCTAGGCTTTCCCAGTGACTTACCAGGCCCCCCAGCTGCAGCAAGCCAGTCAGAAAGGCCCCCGCAGGCAGAGGGCATGCCTGGGAGGCAGGAGTGTTTACGATCTGGCTCCACGTTGGCCCTACAACGTCTACCATGTGTTCCCCAACCAGTCTGATTTAAAAACACATCAACGGATACCATGGAAAATTAGGTTTCCTCTACATTTATTTCAACTGCTAAATGATTAACAACATTCACAACTTCTTAGATTAAAAAAAAAGAAACAAAACCCAAAGCTTCCATTTTGTAACATCACAAACGTCTTCTAGGTTTTACCAAGGACCAAAAACGCTAAATTTCTCTATATGATTTCCAGTGATGGAAACAAGGCAGAGACAGTAAGCACCCAAAGTGGTGAGTTAGCACTTTCCGGATGCCTGTCGTCCTCATGGAAGAGACCCTGGAACTAGAATGACAGAAAAGACACTGTGACTTTGACAAGGCTATGCAACCGCACATCACACTTGCTCTCACACGTGCTCTCCGCAGAGTGGCCTCTGCTGGAGAGGGCAAGGGCGGGCACAGAGGGCCAGCACGCTGGTCCCCAGCCGACAGCTGGCACAGGGACGCACCACCACGCTCCTCCCCGGCCCACGCAACACCTTCACTGCCTCAATGCCAACTCCACAGAAGCGCCACCTGAGTGCTTACAGGACTTTCCAGGCTCAAGAAGTAGGTGCTCCCTTTGACGACTGCCAAAGGCTCACAGTGTCAGCTCAAAGCAGGACACCCCCAGGAGGAGGAGTGGCCGGAGGCTGTGGGAACAGGGCTCAAAACCTGGGAATTCCTAAAGTATTTTACTTATAAATAAAAGCAAAGGAAAGCCAAGAATGAGTATACTAGGACAAAGCGAATATGATGCTTGAAAAAAGAGCCAGGACCCATGCTGGGGGGTGCACACCTCACTCAGCACCAAAGGGTGCTCTGTGAAAGGCCATGCGGGATCAAGGCCCTGTTCTCAGAGTTCTATCCCTTTACCTGATCCCCAGCCAACATGGAAGGCTGTTGGAAAGATTAGAAAAAAAACCCATAGCTGTGGTTCCCCCAAACCACACCACCCCTGCAGGCTATTTCAACTCTGCTGAAGAACCTCCAGCATGTCCGTGGCCATAAAGATCTGCCAGTTGCCAAAGCAACAAAAGTGACCAGAAGCAAGCAGGGCCCTGGGGACTACCCGTGGCATGAAGAAGGGCAACATCAGGCGGGCACGTGAGATGCTGGCACAGGCCCGTGACGCTGTGCTGGTGAGCGTGGGCCAGACAGACAAGACAGATCCAGAGGAGCCTGGGACTACAGCCCAGGAGGTCTCGGGCTTTGAGAAAGCAAGGATTTCATAACAGCCAATACAAGTGGCTGACAGGGTAACTCACTGCTGTGTCCCCCAAGCTTATAGTATCAGCAGGATCCTGTTTTCCAGATTTTAGCATGTATTTAAAACTTCAACACTGCTGCTTTGTGAGGAAGGGCTGAGAGATTCCCACAGCCTGAGAATTTCGCATGTAGTTGCAAGAGGCAGAGTGCGAGAAGCTGGAAGGGGCGGCAATCATACGCCTTGAAATAGCAAACAGCTGCAGAGCCCACCCCAAGAGGATCCTTTCTGCTCTGTACAAAGGCCCTAATAAAACAATTCTTTACACTGCCACACATGCAAAATATGAAGAGTCTTGAAGAGTTTACACCTCCCACCCCTTTGTAGGAGAGACTCCATATGTGGTTTAAGAAAAAAAAACTAGTTTGCTTTGTGGATTCTAAGAGACACGTAAATTTGGGGAAAGTTTCATCGGTGTAATGATTACTCCCCCCTGAATACAGCTGCTGAATACATTGCTGAAATTTCGTCAAGTCTCTTGGGATGCATTTAAGAGATGAGACTCCATAAATAACACGTTCATCGAATCCAGTACCTCCACTTGTTTAAAGAGCTTCAGCACTCCAGCCGACAGCTGTGGTACCAAAGCACAGACCTCATTATTACTGATTTATATTCCCTATTTAAATTTGAGAAGATATGATCTGTGACTGTTTCGGTATCAAGTTTGCAAGCAGATCACTTTTAGAGAGCAATGTGTCCCAGGACAGAAAAACCGACAGGAGCTGGTTCCTGAGCACTTAAAGGGTGCTGGTGCTTTCAAGGGCAGCCCCACCTTCTGAGCGGAACCAGGGGAGACTTGGAGAAGACTTGCTGCCAAAAGCATTTGGAAGAGGGTGAAAGGCAAAAGCAGATTGGAAATGGTGCGTTCTTTTTTTAAGAAAAAGAAAAGCCAGCGGGTGGAACCTCCGCACCAGAAACTGCAGAGATGTTTGTTTTTCGTGTACACACCAAACCTACTTGGGCACTGGTTCCAGGGCAGATCCGGGACAGAGGTGGCGTTTTAAGAGTAATTGCTGCTTCAAGCCTTATCTTTCTCACCAATGGTTTTCATCTATTCAGGGAGAGAACGATTTTGTTCAAAACTGAGAGGTGAGGAGAAAGATAGGAGAAAGATAGGATATTTATAGGCCAAAGGCCCCTCAGAAGGAAAAGGATTTGAAGACCCTCAGAAAGGGATGAGGCAGAGTGGCATCCTCTGCAGCACCAGCTTCCAGGTCACCCTTACACTCGTAAGACACCAGGCCACTCCCGTGGTGGCTTGTTTCCACAAGATGGCCACGTACAGTCGCACCTGGGAGCCCAGTGCAGAGGCCGCACCATGGGCTGCGTGCAGTGGCGCTTGGCGAGCATGGGGCTCGTTCCTTCAGCCTGGAAGGTGACAGGTGGGACACATCCACATCCAAACTCCTTTTGTTTCCCTCACAAAATTTTATGATCTTTTGGGGGGAGTGATATTTTGATGTTTGGGTTTTGAGGAGTGGGGCACACTAACTTTTCTGGAGGAAGCTTCTCTGTGTACCAGAACATCAGCTTAGGCAGAATGTCCCCCACACTAGCTCACATACGTACCTATTTGTTGGCCCGTTTGTGTCTGTACATCTGCATCATCCTCTGACGGAACACGTCAAACGTGTCTTCTTTGTGCTCCTGCCCGTCGGCACCCAACCCCTCCCCTTCCGAGGCAGTTCCCCTAAGGAGCAAAATGGAGAGTTAGCCACACCTGAGCCCAGAGCCCGGCCACCAGGAGATGGAAAACAGCCTGAGTCATCTGAGTGGGACAGAGGTATGAGGGACACACAACAGTGACAGCAAGGGAGGGGGAAAATAAAGACACAGTTCACAGTGGGGAACAAGGGCTACTCACCCGTGCAGGCAGGCGAACTTTCTGAGAAGTGTGCTCAGAAGCCAGCCCCTGATTACAGCAGAAAGCCTCCCCAGCAGGTGCTAAGCTCAATTTTAACTGAAATGCTTGCTGGCTGCTAATGGGGCTTAAGAAACTCTGGGCCGTGCTCTACCCTGGCTAGTCTGCATGTGGGCTCCTGGAAAAGGGAAGTGGCTCTTAGCGTAACTACCCAGCATTACCACTCAAGCTTTTATGATAATAATGAATGTGGCCAAATGCCAGGGACCAAGTCTATGCAAGTGCAGCAAGGAGCTGTATGAACACCTGCATATATAAATGATCTGCTATAAGCCATGTTCGACATGAAGGAAACCAAGGATCAGGCTGCAGGTCAAAGGACTTAGGACCAGAATCCCACAGAAAGCCTCATCTCCCCAGGCACGGTTGCCCATCCCCACCCCTGGCCCCCAGCGCCCACTGCGTACACACTGACGGGCTCCCTGATGCCCTTCCCACAGGAGCCCAGGCCGTGGCCCTCCTTCCAGCCCATCTTCTGTAGCATCTGGAACCCCAGGTTCTTGTCGGTCAGTTTCTGCTGGGCGAAATCAAAGTCCTGGGGTTTCTGAGGAGAGAGAAGAGTGTGGCACGTGAGGTGCAGCAAAGCCCCTGGAGCAAGGGTCTGCCCTGGGTTACACCTGGACATGGTCCAGTACTAACACCCTTAATGCCTCCCTGACTCCACAGATGCTCAAGATCAAGCCATGGTCCTGGCAATATTCCCTGGGTGGGTTCAGACCTCTAAAGGTTGGAGGTCACCAGCCTGAGGTATCCCCACAGAACCACACCAGACCAGCCTCTCAGGCTTCACCATGACCACTCTTGTTGCAGTGTTGAGACTGTGAATTAAACTTTGTGAGGGGATGGTGGGTCCTGGGGCCAAAGGGTGAGTAGGAAGAGCCCAGAGTGGAGACCTGGATAAAGAGAGTGGCCCTGTGATGACCAAAGGGCATATCCCAGGCTGAGGGACACAGGGCACAGGACTTGAGGCAGGAAGGCCCCTGGAGTGCAGGAGTCAGAGGGGCAGCAGGGCTAAGGCAGGAGGGATCCAGAAAGGCAGTGGAGAGAGGCTGTACAGAAAAATCGGCTCAAAGGGTCCTCCCTATTTGACCCCCACTCCTCTCCCACTGCTTCATTAATTCCCATGGGCTTCCAAAACTCTGAGCAGTGGCCCTATCCTGGAAGCTTCCCTGGCTGCCCTCAGGCATTACTCAGCAAACCTGACTGACCTATGTGTCTGTCTGGTCCTTCCCAGGTCTGGAGCTCTGAGAGCTCCCCAAGGGCAGGGACCGGGTTTCACTTGGACTCTGGGGTCCATGTCTAGCACAGAGCAGACCTCACTGAGAGCCAGTGCAGCTGGGAAGAAGGATGGGGCCTGGGAAAGACCTTGTGGGTGGAAAGGTAAGAAGCCCTAGAGGAAGTCTGGGCTCCAGAGCTGACTGTGGGAAGACAAATTAAAAAGCCTAGAGGCCTCTGGAGGAGGAGCCTGCCCAGTGTGAGCAAAGGGGATTTCCATTCACTCATGAATATTCATCAGCACCCACAGTGTGCTGGAACCGCTGGGCAGCTGGGGGCTCAGAGTCCCTGCCGCCTGAGCCTATTTCTTTAATCCGTTTACTAAACACTGAACACAGCCTGTCCCCAGGGCCTCACATGCTCCCAGGGAGAAGGTTCCTCTATCCTGATCAAGGCAGCTGGGAGTAGTGGAGAGGGTCTGAGCAGGGGACAAGTGTGGGAGGGGAAGAGGATGGGGAAGGCAGAGGGAAGGCTGGCCACGGGTCCCCAAATGGCAGGCTTGCCTCCTCCTTCGGGAAAGCTGTTCAGGTGGGAGCAACAGGAGGAACAGGGGTCCACTCAGCTGGACAGATCTTTGTGAGTGTTCAACTGTGTCTAAGAATCACCCTGCCTGGTTTCCTGGGGCTGGAGCAAAGCCATGCACCATAGGCCAGGCTGAGGTGTGCACAGAGAGCTGCAGGGGAGACCTCCTCCCTGCCTGCAGTCACCCCAAAGAGAGACCCATGTTTGCAGGACACCAGCTGGCTGCACACCGGGTTAACATACATTTCATTTAATCCTCAAGGTATCTCCTACCTGCAGGATAGGTGCAACTGCCCCACTTTACAGATGTACAAAACCTCAGGATTCACATGCCAAGATCAGATGGCCAGGCTGAGCCTGAAAAGGCTGCCTTCTCACCAGGCTTTGCCTCACACAGGCCACCAGATGGGTACCCGGGTGCTGGGTCAGCTTAAAACCCAACACAGCTGTTAAGACCATAAGCTTCGGGTACAGGAAGGTCCCTGCTCTCAGCTGTAACTGGGGTCACACTGATGCTTCATTTGGCCATTGATAATGATGCAATGCACTCAGAACAGGTCTGAGCCACAACTTGGGCTTTGCTCACCCCCTGACACCAGCAGAGACCTCGCCTGGTTCCCCACTCACCTCCCTGACCTCTAGAGACCTGTGATGTCCCCACATGTATCCCAGGTGAGCTTGTGTAGCCTCACCTGCCCCGACATGTGTCAGCCCAGCTGTCTGGAGTGTGCCCCGGTCTCCTTCCAATGACCTGCTCCCAAAGGGGCTCCCCATTTCAGTCAATGGCAGCTCCATTCTCTTAACTGTCCAGGCTGACAACCCTGGAGTCACCCTGGGCTCTTGGCTTTCTCTGTTCCACATCCAATCCATGATCAAGTCCCACCAACTCCACCTTCACCTCTCCTGGACCCCCGGCTCTGCCTCGCCCCGCACCCCACAGGCTGCTCTCAACACAGCTGCCATAGTGGCCATGTCTTCCACCCAAATCCCCACCGTGGTTCTCCAATGCCTCTCCCAGAGAAAGGGCCACAGTGCTGACATCCATCGACAAGCCCTATGTGACCTGGGTGCTTGCCACCTCTACTTCCTCACCCCATCACTCCATTCTAGGCACAAAGGGCTCCCTGCTGACCTGTGACTGATTTGGGGCTTCTCCTAGGCCTCCCTGCTTAAAGGGTACCCCCCAACCCACCTTATTGCTTGCCTCCCTTTGACCTGCTTCTCTGCACCCACAGCACCCACCATTCCCGGTCCTGCACATTTCTATTGCTGCCAGCCCCGCTCATGGCTGCCTCTAGGTGGGCAGATGGAGCTGGGAGCACAAGAGGTGCTGACCAGTTAATAAACACACATGCGTACGCACATGCGCTCAGCTTACTAGCAAAGTAGCACACTCTTTTAACCACAATTATAGTCTACTAAATCTGAACTTCTCATTGGCTGAGACATTATCTTGTTCATCTCTCCAATCCATTGCACATATCAGGCCTCACACATCCGTTAAGTAGACTAATTACTCCCTCTTGTGGTTTTGGGCAATGCAAAACACTTTTAAGAAGTCCCGGGAGAGAAAAGGCTGTGTGTTGTGCTTTGTATGCTGACACCTGCCCTGAAGTATGAGTATAGCTTAGTCACGCCAGTGCCCTTTGGAACTCTGGCAAACTCTGACTACGTCACACGTGAGGACTCACAGCCACACTCACCTTCTTCTTGGTCACGGGACGACCCCGAGGCCTGTCATAGGCAATTCGAACTGGTTCGTGAACTGGAAGACAAAAGAAATGTATATATACACATATATGTACTTTCCCCAAATTATTTAGAGGATGAGGGTGCTGCAGTTTTGGCTTATAGCCCCTCTGCAGACAGAAGGTGGCTAGGAGCTGCACCACAGGGCCAGCCATTTGGCCCTGACTCCTCTCAGGAATCTTGTGACCCACGGAGTGCAGAGGCAGAACAGAGGCTCAACTGAGAGCTGCCTCGCTATGGGAGAGTCTACCTAAGCGTGACTCCCACGTTTATGACGAAGGACCTGACACGTGGATCATGTTCCATGACTGCAGGAATACATTTTGCTTCAACAAATGAGCTATTTGCAACACTGTGCCCTCCTCATGTCCCTGTGACTGTTCCATAGATAGAGAAGTAAAGTCCACTCAGAACTTTCTAGTAAAAACAACCATGCTTCTCATACACAGCACCACATCATGTTATTATTATTGTTATTATTATATTTGACAAAGGAGAGATCAGCAGGTCTGGTACTATCTCATCAACCACCCTATCAAAATAACTGAGAGCTTCTAAAGTAGAAAGAATTCCGCTTTCCCCCCATAAAAGCCATCTTAACAAGCATTCTGATGTGCTGCCATACTCTGATAAGTTCTGAAGGACATAAGAGTTTAGTAGAACAGTTAGAAATCCATTGCAACACCAAGGTTTCCAAACACAAACCACGAGAACTGTTCCTTTAGCAGGAGAAACTATACTGACACTGCTGGGTGTGAATATGATGGTCTCAATAACGTAGAACACACAGGCTCTCCGCACACAATGGAGCCCTGTTCACCAAAACCACCTGCCACACAAGCATCGCAGCAACAGCCCCACACAGGCCCGGCTGTGTGGAAACCTGGGTGGGCAGCGAGCAGCCCAACAAAAGGCGGGACATGATGTGATTCGCCTACTGACAGCCTAGAAAAGGCAAAACCACAAGGCCAGAATGATGGTCAGTGGTTGCCTGGGCTGGGTAGAGGAGAAAACTGCAGAGGGACACAGAGACACTTCTGGGACGAGCTCCAGCTCGGCTGTACTGGGGTGCTCATGCCTATACACCTTTGCCAAAACTCCGTGAACTGTCCACTTGAAAAGGGTGCACCTTTACTGCTGGTAAATTGTACCTCAAGAACCTTGACCCTCCCCACAGGCAGGAAGGAGATGGCCCTCCATGGCCAAGGCTGGCAGAGCATGGATTGCACAGCTCCCACTAACTGCTGCCCAAGACTGATCCCGGTCCGTGTCCTCCTGCCTCATCGTCACTAAGCAGTCATCACTACTCTGGGGTCTTTGGGGAGATGGAGGCACTCAGAAAGCTGGGCACGCCTCAAGATCACAGGCAGGAAACAGCCAAGATGACCCAGGCCCATTCCTTCCACAGCCAGGACTCCCCTGTTGGAAGCTGAGCAATAATGGAAAATAACAAGCAGCATGTGGGGTGCTAGAAGCCAAACGCAGCACCTCCTTAGAGTGCCAACCTCAGACCAACTGGAAACGTCAGTTTCTCATGAACATTTTGGACTGTGTGCAAAACCAATAGGACTATTTTAGGTTAAAAACATAAGACCGAAGAACCCCATGTTGTGTTGGCCCTGGGAGTGTTCTGGAAGGTAATGTCCAGGTTAGCTGGAGTAATCAGAGGCGGAAAGGGTGACGGGGGCCAGTTGGTCATCTTGCACCTGAACTTGGGCTGAGGGCCAGGTAAATTCTTCAAAACAGTCAGACAACGTCTCCACAATTTTTCACGGCCCACAACCGAGCACCATGACTCCTCCTCAGGTGTTAAACAGAAGACCGTGCTGGGGGCACTGTGTCAATAGCCAGGCACTTACCTTTGGGCTCCTGGATGAGACACAGCCTCTTGGGAGCCGGAATCATGCCGACCTTCAGCGACTTGCTGCTGACTCTCTTCCGGGGGAAGCAGGCCCCTGAAGAGGACTGTGACAGGGCAGGCGCACCAGCCGGGCCATCCTCGGCCACCCCACTCAGGAGGCCATCAGCTGGGGGGCTGCCCTCCGAGCCCTCAGACTTGGTCGACCCTCCTGCTGGCCTGGAGGCCCCTCCAGGAGTGGGGGCCTCCTCACTCCCTTCCTCGTCCTCCTCATCCTCCTCCTCGTCCTCGTCTTCCTCAGGCATCACCTCTGGGCTCTCCAGCTCAGCCTTGCGCTGAGAGGGCTCATCCTCAAACTCTCCTTCCCCCTCCATGGGCTCCAGGGGGCTCTCCTGAGAATCGGCGCTCTTGCTGGCAGGAAGGTTCAGCGGAGATGACGTAAAGCAAATCGATGGGCACAGTTCAAATACTTTCTTTCGATAGAATTTGAAAGCTGAACTGTTTTGGTCATGTAGAAACCTGGGATAAAGATGAAATACATTGGTTAACCAGAGGGTTCTCTATAAACATTCGTATTTTCTGAAACTGTCCAAATGGACTTGACAAAGCTGGGGGTGGGACAAAGAAGCGAACACATGACCTCTTTCCACCAGCTGTGGTTGATGGGCAGCTTTACGATGAGACAGAAAGCTTGAAGAGTACTAGTAATTTAACGAAGTAGCCAGAACATAAGAGGCCTTATTGCTTTCTCGGGGAGGGAGCTGGAGGAACAAGGTATGCAGGGACGACCAGAGAACATGCTAGAACGAGCTCTAACACTACAGCCAGGAGATCCGAACTGGGCCTTACCTCATCTCTTTCTGATTACGTCACCGGCCACTCTGGGCCTGCGTGTGCTCACTGTGACTCTCTGGTTCCTCCCATACTCCGGCCATGAGATGGAGAGAGGTGTGTCACCTCCTGCCTCATGTCCTGCAGCAAAGCTGCGTGAACGTGCTGGCAAAAAGGCCTCTCTGAGCCTCGGAGTCCAATGGCCCTAGCCACAGCTTGGAGCTGCGGCTGGTGTGAGAAACCGAAAACACACAAAATTTACTTGGGCCAAAGGAAAGACAGCCCTTGTTCTTGGACAGGACAACTCAGGCTCATAATGAAGTCAATTCTCCCTTAATTAAATATTAATGTATAGAAGTAAAAGCATAATTTTTTTCTGGATCTGAACATGATTCTTAAGTTCATATAGAAACATGAGTATGTAAGACTATCTAGGAAACCCCTGAATAAGATCAACAAGGGGCTCAGTTCCACCAGGTATTACAAGGTGTGTTAGGCCTCTATAGTTAAAACAGTGTGGTACTTGTCTATGGACAGACAGACCAAGAGGAAGGCCAGAAACACAGTATCTGATGAAGGTGGCCTCTCAAATCACTGTGAAAAAGAACAGTCTTTTCAATGAATGGTGTTGGGACAACTGGGCGGCTTTTTACAAAAATATTTAAATTGGATCTATGCTGTACTCTCTGCTCCTGAATAACCCCACACCGATCAGAGATCTAAATGTAAAAACCAAGCCATACAAGTTGTAGAAGAAAATACATAAATGTCTTTATAATCTGAGTGTAGGGAGATTCTTTCTAACTGTAACTCTGTATCCAGGTGCAACGAGATAAAACTGAGAAATTTTACTAGATCAAACGTTTCTGCACTGCAGAACATACCATAAGTAAAGTGAAAAATATCCAACTATGAAGGAAATAGATACAATTACATTACAGGTAAAAGGTCAGAGAAACTAGAAAGAATAAATCCAAAAATCCCAATCGAGAAAAGGGCAAAGATTAAGAACTTCTGCCCTCCAAAAGACACTGCTAGAATGAGAAAACAAGTCACAGACTGGGAGAAATTATCTGCAAACCACACACTTGACAAATAACTTGTATCAAGAATACATAACAAACTCTCAAAATTCATTAATAAGTAAATAAACGACCCAATAAAACAATAGGCCAAAGATTCGAGCAGACACTTCACTAAAGAAATACATAAGCACATGCAAAGATGCTCAGCACTGTTAGTCCTCAGAGAAACACAAATGAGAACCACCCCTCCCCCGCACCAAGAGGGCTAACATGAAGAAGACTGAAACATAAATGAGAACCACAGTGGAACACCCCTCCCCCGCACCAAGAGGGCTAACATGAAGAAGACTGACACTATCAAGTGCTGGTGAAGATGGGGAGGAACCAGAACTCTCACCCAAGCTGCTGGAAATGCAAAACTGTGCCACCACTTAGAAAGACTGTCTGGAAGTTTCTTCAAAAGTTAAACACAGACCCACCATGTGAGCCAGTCTTTCTCTGCCTCAGTATTTTACTGGAGAGAAATAAAAGCAGACCTTGTACATGACTGCTCACAGAAGGTTTATCTGAAATCGTCCCAGAATGGAAACATCTCAATGCCATCAACAGCTAACGGGTAAATAACTGTGGTCCAGTCATACAATGCGATACACTCAGCAATAAACAGGAATGAACTATGGATACACACAACATGGATGAACCCTAATAATTATGTGGAGTAAGAAGCCAGACAAAAGGAGAAAACAAACTGCATTTACACAAAATTATAGAAAATGCAAACTATTTACAGTGAGAGAGCCCTGATCAGCAGCTGCCTGCAGGAAGGGATGACAAAGGGCACAAGGAAACTTTTGAGTCATGGATGTGTTCATCATCTTGATGTTGGTGATGGCTGCATGAGTGTAAACACGCATTAAAACTTATTAGACAGGGACTTCCCTGGTGGCGCAGTGGTTAAGAATCCTCCTGCCAATTCAGGGTTCGAGCCCTGGTCCGGGAAGATCCCACATGCTGCAGAGCAACCAAGCCCATGTGCCACAACTACTGAGCCTGCACGCCACAACTACTGAGCCCATGTGCCACAACTAATGCAGCCTGCGCACCTAGAGCCTGTGCTCTGCAACAAGAGAAGCCACCACAATGAGAAGTCCGCGCTCCGCAAGGAAGAGTAGCCCCCACTCACTGCAACTAGAGAAAGCCTGCGCACAGCAACAAAGACCCAATGCAGTAAAAAATAAATTAATTAATAAAAAAAACTTATTAGACAAATATGTGCAGTTTATGGCATGTCAATTATACCTCAACAAAACTTTTTTTTTAAAAAAGGGCAAATGATATGAACAGTTTACAGAAAGATATTCAAAGGACATAAGTTTATGAAAAGAGGTTCAATTTCACTCATAAGAAAAATGCAAACTAAAACTTCACTGAGAAAATTAGAAATTCCTCACCAATCCCACTGGCTCAAAGGCATGCCAAAAGGTGGGGGGTGGGGACAGGCACTCATGACACTCGTAGGAGAGTGGCCCTCAGGGAGGGGAATTCGCACTAACAAAACTTAGTTTGCATTGAACTATGATTCAACAATCCCCTTCTGGAAGATACCCAAAAATTCTCACCACAAACACAAAGAGATTGTGTGTAAGGCCAAACTAGAAGTATGCGCTTAGCCACTACTGGGTCCCAGAAATGCTCCAGGAAATGTAAAGTTTTTAACTGTATTCTTAACTAAGCTGAGGCACGACTCTCTAGCATGTTGGGAGCAGGGTGAGCGCCCGGAACCCCTAGCTGGCAATAGGACACAATCCACACAGCGTGGGAACCCCACACTCCAAGGGGAGCCCAGCCGGGTTACGGCTCAGTACTGGGAACACATGGCCCTCAGGCAGCCTCTCCATGAAGGAGAACCCGCACCCCGCAGGCAGAGTGGGGCTCTGGTTCTGTGGCCTCTGGGCTGTGTAGTGTTGAATGATTACGCCATCTGAAGAATGGAGAGGAAAATGGTGCCCCCTCCTGGCACAAGGGTGCCACGCCATCACTGAGTGGAAGTGCTTGCTGCTTACATCTGGACCAAAGCCCACCAACATGCTACATGAGCAGCACATTCTCATCCTGCCCAGAGTAGCCAGCATGACCAGGGACAGTGCCCTCCTCCTCCTCAGACTCATGGGCGAGGACACACTCTCCTCTTTGCCTCTGCAAAGGTCCTGGGGAAACTATAAGTCCCTCGGCCAGGGCATTCTCTCCCCTTTCCCCTGGCCAACGCCCATTGAACCTTCAGATCCAGCTTAAACTTCCTTCCGGGGGAGGCTTTTCCTGATGCCCCAGATGAGGGCAGGTCTCCCAACAACCCAAAACAGATGCTCCGTAACAGCCCTGAGCTCAGCAGAAGTGAAGTCGTGATTTATCCCGGGGCGACCCCCTGTGGGCTCTCAGGACACTCATGGGGTGAACTCCTGTGGGCTCTCAGGACACTCATGGCCTCAGATTAAAGGGGTGTGATGGGTACATACCAAAGGTCAGGGTTGTCAATGCTGTTTTCTATGCTGAATTGTTCAATCTCTGGTCCCACCTGAGCAACAAATTTGGCCAGTTTCTCTGCAGTCTCCATTGTCTTCGTATCAACTACAAAATAAAGCAACTGTCATGTATTGGTTCTGAGCTGCCAATTCCCATGTGAACATCGTGGGGTTGTGGAGACTGATTACAAAGACGGCCCCTCACTGTACCCCTGCCCTTTGCCATGTGACTCTGCAGCTCTGTCCAGCAGAGATGGACTCTCTTTTTTCCCCTTGAATTGGGGCTGGCCCTGGAACTCTTGCTGGCTACAAATGTGACAGAAATGTGGAGTCCAGGCCTGAGAGGGCTCAAGCACCTCCTCTGCCTCTCCTGGATGGCCAAACCCGACTGTCAGGTGAACTGCTGGTGGGTGACAGGCATGTAGCCCACTACCCCTATCATCTCAGCTGACAGTTCCAGACAACTGGCCACTGCCTGCAGACAGTTTGCAGGCCCAGCCCAGCTGACTTGAAGCAACACTGGATGCCTCCTGTTTGAAGCCACAGTTTGGACTGGCTTGTTATGTAGCAACAGCTAGAGAAATGTAGCAGTTGTGTAGATTTTTTCCCTCTCCATTCCCACCTAGTGCTGAGTGGGAAGCACTGGCCAGAGGGCAGGCCTGTTGCAGTAGGAGAAGGTAATGGCTGGGAGAAACAAAAAAATTGCTGGTCAACTAACTCTAAGGAAGGAAACACAGAGACCTTAGCGGGGAAGAGGAAGCAGAACGAGAACACGGGCAGCCTTATGGAACATATAACGGGCAAGAATAGAGAGAAATGGATCAAGGAGCTCAAAGCCCTAAGCACGGGCACATGGCACACCCTGCTGGCCAGCAGAAGGACCCTGCAGGGAAGCACAGAGTCACCAGGCAGCACCTCGTGTCAGCTCCACACTCAGGATAAGAGGAAGGGTGCAGCAGGAGTCTAGAGCCAGCCCCTTGAGGAAGCAAGAGGAGAGAGAGTGCCCGTGTGTGTGCCATCCTGGCCAGGTCCCTTTCGCTGCTGCCTGCTGCCCAGCCCAGCCCACTGAAGCCACCTGTCTCTGCAGAGAGCCCTGGGGATAGATGAGCATTGGGGCTGGGGCCCAGAGGAGGGGGACAGAAGTGAGCACTTACCATCAGTAGACAGGCAGGGAGAAGAGGTCTGAGGGGCTTCGGAGACATCCACTCCTGCTGGCTTGCGGGATGGGCCTGAGGCTTCTGGGCTGGGGTCCCGAGGAGAGGGTCCGGCTGGGTCTGGCGGGCAGTCCTTGGCAGCATCATTTCCATCTGGTTGGGGCGGCTTTCCCTGCAAGGAGCCTGGAGCCTGCCGGCCATGGTGTTTCAGCCTGGTGCCTGAGGAGAGGAGGGTCTGGGTCCCGGTGGTCGCTCTCCTCACTTTACAGCCCCGGAGTCCTTGAGCTCGAAGTAGCCCCCGCCGCCGCCCTGGTAGGAGCCTCTTCTTGAGGCTCCGGACCGCCCGGGAATATAGCATGGCCCGGACTGCACACTCTGCCGCCATCGGCTTCTGATCTGCTCCTGGCAAGTTCTGGCTCATCCGCTGCATTTCTGCCAGCTTCAGCTTATAATATTTATACTCCAGACTACTGTCATCAGATAAAAACCTGTATAACAAAACAGGAATAGCAGGACATTTGTGAATACACCAGCATGACCAAATTGTCGCTGTAAATACACTTCTGCAAACCCTTTCTACTTGGTGGCCTCCCTGCTGTTGGAGAGGCTCCGCCCGGCTCCACCAAGAACCCAGCGCTGGGCCTTGGTCATCTGTCCTGCTCAGAGTGACCACAGGGTGACCAGGAGCTCTGAGCGAACACTGGTCGATTCCTCCTCAATTTCCGTCATCAGCAGCCATGAAGGAGCTCCCAGCTCCTGGTGGCCTCACAATACAAACCAGTTACCCTGAAACCATGGAAGCTCTCTGCTGTCAGGAAGTGGCAGGTGTTGCTCCTGGACATCACTTTCAGGAGATGATGCCCTTCAAATGGTGAGCACTCAGCGACCTTTTAACTACATCATTAAGGCACTGAGTGTGCCACCGCTGTGAAATCACGTGCCAGAGTCATAATGAGAACAGTACAGAAAAGAGGAGTTTGAGTTACATGTACTAACATAGAAAGAGATCCGTAATACAGCCCACGGACAGCAGACTAGAGAAGACCAACATTGATACGTACCATATGAAACTGCTTTGTGTACATGACATCCACGTATATTTGTTTTTTTCATATAGGTTGAAAGAATATAAAGCAAACTTAAGGATTTGCTCAAGGAATGGGTTAGAAAGAGGCATGACTGGATTAGAAGGAGAAGGTCACATTATTTACTTTGTTGACTATTTCATTAGCACTTTCTTTCATCTCTATTAACCCTTTCCTTGTAGTCTCTGGGCTTTTTGCACCATTTCTTTCTTGCTTCATGAATTGAATGCTTACCTTCACTCTTTATTTCTGATACACACACAAGGTCGCACCTTTCTCCCAACCGCTGTTACGGATGCATTCTATATGCAATGCTCTCCCTGCTACTTCCTTCTGAAGAGTTTCTAATTCCAATTCTAATTCTCTTTCATACAAAAGTTATTCAGAAGCCTGTTTTATTTTGGCTGTTGCTGGTTTCAACTTCTATGCATTGCACAATGTGGCCCACGTGACTTCCCTTTCCTGGGATATTCTGTAATTTTCTACACAACCTCATTCATAACAGGTTTTTTGTGAACGTTCAATCTCAGTTTGTGTTAAAGAACGAGTACTGTTTGGTGAGTATGGCAATATTTCATGCGGCTTTTGGACGCCTGAAGTTGAGATCATATATTAGATGAGGTTCCCAATTACCAATAACAGACGCTGATTGGCTGTGAGGTGGCAGTGCACAGCAGGACGCTGGCAGCACCGTGTGATGTGGCATGTCCCTGGTGGGCAGCTCCATATGAAGCTCCTGTTGATGCTCACTGCAGTCAAGGTCTGGCTGGATCTGAGGAAAGAGCCTGTGTGCTGGCTCCCCTGCTGCCCTGGACACTCTGCTGGGCCAACAGCAGCATCCTGCAAGATTGCATCCTAACAAGCAAGGGTTGCCACATAAGGGAAGGTTGACCAAAACAGAAGCTCCAGTTCTCAAGTCAAACGCAGCCCCTCATCCAGGGCAGAAAGTGGAGTCAGTGCCCAGGTGACCTGGATCCCCAAGATGTAAGTCCCTTTCCCCTGGTCAGTTCTAATGCCAAGTGCATGCAGTGTGAGGACATGTCACAAACCCATCTCCCTTAGTTCTAGTGGAGCGTAACATCAAGAGCATAGAATACTCCTAAGCTAGCCTGCACGGTTCAAATTCCAGTGTAGCCACTTATTAGCTGTGAGATTTACTGAATCTTTCTGTGCCTCAGTTTCTCCATCTGTAAGATGAGACGGATGATAATAATAAGCTACTTCATCATGTTGCTGTGAGGCTTGAATTATACACTTTTCATTATAAGGAAAATGCTTTGGGGAATTCCCTGGTGGTCCAGTGGTTAGGACTTGGTGCTTTCACTTTCGGGGCCTGGGTTCGATCCCTGGTTGGGGAGCTAAGATCCCACGAGACCTGCAGTGTGGTCATAAAAAACAAACAAACAAAAAAAAGAGCAACATAGGCTTATCATCTCTAGAGATACAGAAGTAACTGTTAAAAGTAGTTTAATGAACTAAAAGCGACTGTCTCCAAGGAGGAGAACTGGGAACTTCCCTGGCCGCCCAGTGGTTAAGACTCTGCACTTCCACTGTAGGGGGCATGGGTTCAATCCCTGGTCAGGGAACTAAGATCCTGCATGCCACATAGACACAGCCATGGTTTCTGCCATCAATATCATACCAGAAACATTTTGCCATTTGTGTTTACTTCATTTTTTTGGTAAATCACATTTGGTAAAGTACTACTTTAACTTAAGAATTCAAATATACACACCAAAAACCTAAGTTTACTAGTTCTTTAACACTGTTTTTTGCACACTCTTTCTTCTTACAGTCTCTGGGTAATTCTTTCTGAAGGAAGTCACAGGTGATCACGTCTCTGAGTCCAGCTCCCTAATCTGTTCTTCATCCAGGTCAATTCTATCAGCCGACCACTGAGATCATTTCAACAATCACATTTGTCAATTCCAAGATCCTTAATTGGTTCTTTTCCATAACAAGCAGTTCCTATTTCATGGATACAATATGGTATTATCCACCCAAGACTATTAATTACACACATGTAGACAATCTTCTTTTCCTTATAGTAACTTCTTAGGTGCCAGATCTGCTGGGTTGGGTGGCCCTCCTTCATGCTGCCAGTTTCCCTCAAATACTTGGTTTAGAGCTCAATGCTCATTTCTGATTTGCAACCCCCTCCCACTGCCACACATACGCCCAGCTCTGGCTATGCTTCCGTCTGCCACCCCTGACTGTCAGAGATCATGAACCTGATGGGTAGTGCAGAGCAGTCATGCAGCAGAGAGGCATGCTCCTAGTCCTCTCAGGGTCCCCCTTCCCTCCAGCCCAATCACCTCGGCAATCACCTGGAAATTGCCCCTGGGTCTTCCAAGTCTAGATGACATCTTACCCAGAGGATATGGTCTCTGCTTTCATCTGTCAATCTGAGGCTATCTAGCCTCCTTCCTTCAGTATGAGCGTTGGTTGAGACCACACAGCCAGAACGTGAATCTCAGCTCTGTCTTTTACTAGCTGTGCCTCCTTGAGGCAAGAGGTCTCTTTTGAGCCTCAACTTTTCTGTCTGTAAAATCAGGATGACAACATACCTACCTCAAAAGGTTGTTTATGAGGGTTCGGCCAGCTAATGCTTAAAGCAGTAAAGTGCTTAGAATGGTACCAAGTGCACAGAAAGCAAAAGTATTTGCTAAATAAAAAGTATTCAATAAATGACACTGGGGCAATTAGGTTACTGGGTTTCCTTTCTTTTCTTTTCTTTTTTTTACCTTTTAAGTTACATGCCTATCTTATTCAACACAGGAACATAATCTTGATGAATTCAAGAATTCTGTAAAGGATTTTCCTGGTGGCTCAGTGGTTAAGAATCCACCTGCCAATGCAGGGAACACGGGTTTGAGCCCTGGTCCGGGAAGATCTCACATGCCATGGAGCATCTAAGCCCGTGCGCCACGACTACTGAGCATGCGCGCTAAAGCCCATGAGCCCCAACTTCTGAGCCCAAGTGCTGCAACTACTGAAGCCTGTGCGCTTTAGGGCCTGCGTGCTGCAACTACTGAAGCCCACGCACCTAGAGCCCGTGCTCTACAACAAAGAAGCCACCGCAAAGAGAAGACCATACACCACAACAAAGAGTAGCCCCGCTCGCCACAACTAGAGAAAGACCGAGTGCAGCAACACAGACCCAGTGCAGCCAAAAAAAAAAAAAAATTCTGTAAAAATAAAACCATAACAAGTTCCAACTCTTCTCCTGAAAAATCATGCTGGTTAGGACCAAAGCCCTGGTGCCATTACACAGAAATTTACACCTTTCAAGCATCTTTAGAAATTACAACACCAAGAATAGAGAGCTTGGTATGGATACAACATTGACTATACCAGACCTGAACAGATCACTCAAAAAAGAGGAACTACAACTAGAAATCCTATGAGCAAACACATAATCTTTTTAATTAACAAAAGAATATAAGGTAAAACATCACACTATGAAATTATCTTTAAGTCAAAAACACTTATGTGAGGGCATGGCACATGTACGGAGTGGCAGTGAGGGTGTCAATCACGGAAAATAACCTGATGATAAAGATCAGTGGTCTCCACCAGGGACAACTCTGTCCCCCAGGGGACACTGAGCAATGTCTGAAGGTATTTTTGGCTGGGATGGAGGCTTCTACTGGCACCTAGTGAGTGGAGGCCAAGGATGCCCAGGACAGTCCCCCTGCAGAGAATTATCCAGCCTCAAACATCAATAATGCTGCAGTTGGGCTTCCCTAGTGGTGCAGTGGTTGAGAATCTGCCTGCTACTGCAGGGGACACGGGTTCGAGCCCTGGTATGGGAGGATCCCACATGCCACGGAGCAACTAGGCCCGTGAGTCACAACTACTGAGCCTGCGCGTCTGGAGCCTGTGCTCCGCAACAAGAGAGGCCGCGATAGTGAGAGGCCCGCGCGCTGTGATGAAGAGTGGCCCCCGCTTGCCACAACTAGAGAAAGCCCTCGCAGAGAAACGAAGACCCAACACAGCAAAAATAAATTAATTAATTAATAAACTCCTACCCCCAACATCTTCTTTAAAAATAATAATAACAATAATAATGCTGCAGTTGAGAAACACTGACACAGATCAAAAGCCTCTAAAATGAGCTTTCTTTTTAAACTAGCAATTTTACTCCCACATACTACCGTAATAAACTGCCAGAAATGTAGACATAAATAAAAGCAAGACAACATTCATCATAACGTTATTAGAATCCAAGAATCCACCAATGGGCAATGGTTGAGTGTAGTATACTGTGTAAGAAGGAATAGTATGCATTCATTGATAATAAGGACAATTATGTTAAGTTTAAAACACAGGACACAACTACAGAGCACACGCTGTGGGGGAAAAGTGGGAGAGCTCTGAGTAACTCCATCTTTGCCTTTTTACTTTTCTCTATTTTTACAAAGGGCATATGCCACTTTGATCATTTTTTAAAAAGTTAACGAAGTATAAAACCTTTCCACTTCGAGCAATCTAATCTAGAGATAATCCTAAACACACACAGAAATGTGACACATTAAGCTATTCACAGAAAAAATTAAAAATAGTGTACAATCAAAAATATTCTAAAAATCCAACAAGAGAGGAATGGCTAGATAAAATGATCACCTACTCTGCGAACCGGTAAACACAGCCATCTGAAATGTTTACAAAAAGTAGGGAATACGAGCATTTTCCTTTGTTATCTAAAAGGAGTAGCGTATATCACAGCATAATCACAACTGTGTTAAAAACCAAACAGCTCGCAATGAGCAGAAAGGCTGGAAGCAAATACCCAAAAATGCCAGTGAATGCCAGTAAGCACACAGGTGGCTTTGCCCAATTTTCTGTTCTTCTTTACCTTCTCTAATGATCAAATACTGTATTTATGGTGAAAACTTTAATTTTAAAAAGTTCTATTCAAGTGAAGAGGCAATAAGGCAAAAGGAAAAGACAGTTTAACAAACAGTAGCAATAAATCACAAACAACTGCTGTGATATATTCCTTATCTTACACTCATTCTTTGCATACACCTCTCACCTCATCCTCAAACCAGCACAGCAGGGACAAAGTGCTCCATGTCCAGATGAGAGAAGGCCACATGGCAGGTAAGCAGCAGACTGGAGCTTGAACCCACATGAACCTGACCCACCCTCATGCTCTTCCACTGACTACACCACAGCGCAAAATAAGCATCTCACCCTATTCTCTGGACATCATCAGAGCAACAAAAACATTGCCATGTACTTTATGGGAGGAATTCTGAAGAGCAACATTTAAAGACCTACCAGTAAGCAGGGTCCTCCTTGAGAAGAGCTCTTTCTTTGGGAGACAGGCTGCCTCCAACAACACGTGTGACCAGCTGGTCAATGGTGTCCACCACCTTGTGGTCTGCTCGCTGGGGGACCTCTGGAACACACAGAAGGGCTTTTCTGAGAAACACACTGGACCACATGGGGCCTGGGAAGACCAGGACAGAACTGAAGGCTTAGGATGGGGCCTAAGCAGGCACCAGGAACTGAAATCCTCGTTCATGACAGACCAACATTGAAAAGAGGAAAGGGGCCTGTTATTCTCGAAACCAATATGCAAAATATCCTCTCAAAAGCTATAACAGCATAATCGCTAGGAGAGAAACAGTCACAAACTTAGGATGACTGTACAGAGCAATATATATACATATTCTATAGGAGAAAATGGTGTGCAGCAACTCCTAACCACCTTTTGCATACATCTTAACTTGAATGTTCACAATATTAAGGGGAGAACAAAAGACATAAAATGTATCTAGGTATAAAATATGTAAAAAGTATATCTAAACTGTGAGTTGCAATACGAAAAAAAGGAAAAGAGATACATAAATACAGACACACAGAAAAAAATTAGAAGGAAATATACCAGAAAGTTAACAGAGATTATCTATGGGTGGTAGATTTATCAGGGATTTCATTTTTTGTGTTTGCTTTATCTATAAAAGTTAAACACACATGTGTTTTGTAATCATAAAACATATACATAAATTTACAAAGAAAAATTTCCCAATTAAAAAAGTCAGTAGGGCTTCCCTGGTGGCGCAGTGGTTGAGAGTCCACCTGCTGATGCAGGGGACACGGGTTTGTGCCCCGGTCCGGGAAGATCCCACATGCCGCGGAGCGGCTAGGCCCGTGAGCCATGGCCGCTGAGCCTGCGCGTCTGGAGCCTGTGCTCTGCAACGGGAGAGGCCACAACAGTGAGAGGCCCGCGTACCGCAAAAAAAAAAAAAGTCAGTAGTTCCAAGGTAGGTGTTCACAGAAAATATCTGCTGAATGTATGAAAAGACAACATTTCTTAAAGTGTGAATTTCCTCCAATGACTTGTAATTTACAATGCCACCAGCAACAAAGAAGAGCATTATGTCCTTAAACACTAAGATTGTTTAGTTTTCTGATATTTGCTAGTTTTAATAGCACAGATGGTCTCATTCAATAAAAATCACCCCTGAACTGGAGAGGTTTTCCAGTTTGTTCTGTGGAATGGTATTTTAAACATCAATGTGAGTTCTTAACATAGGATGAGTCAATCCTTCAATTGTCATGTCATTTCCCCTCTGAAATTACTTTCCCTTTTTTTGTTGTCAGCTCTTATTCTATAGAACTGCTAGTTTTATATGATTTTACAAAAGAATAAGAGATTCAAAGTCAGAAGCTTTCAAAGACAATGAAATTTGTGCATCATTGCAACCATCTCTAGAGAAGATGACCATAGTAAGGGCCAGAAAGTGGGTCCTACTTTTGGCCCAGCAATCATTCTGTGAATATCTCCTTTAAGGGAGGATTCAAAAACATTTTTAACGAAAATAATAGCAATAATAAATGCAACCAAAGATATCATCCCAGCATTTCTAACAGTACTGAAGTAATGGCAGGGCAGCGCCCCATAAGACGTGGGCGCTGGTGCTGTCTACCTGCTGACCAGAAAAGGAGCCAATGCTTTGCAGATGCCAATCTCATGGGAACTGAGCTCTGTTCAGCCTCAGAAGCCTCTAATAAAAGGCACTATGAGTCCAACATCAAGGGAGAGGTGAGGTAAATTCACATTTAGTCATGATGCTGCAAATGCCGCAGAAACACAGAAAAGAGCCTTTGATAATCCTGTAAAAGAGCAGACTGTAGTGTTTTCAGTAAAGCAAGACTGCAGCTACAGGCATGCCTGCATAGCAGCACAACCAGGGGACGGTGGCAGGCAACTTTAGGTTATGGGGGACTTTTTTGTCCTTCTTACAGTTCTTCAGTATCGTTGTTATACTGACTTTCCACCCCACTACTTTGGGGGATGTGGGGAGGAGAGGTCCTGCTTCAGCCCTGAGCCCACTACTGGAAGGCTCTCTCTCTGGGAGTGGGTGTGGCCGCCCATCCGCGGAGCGACCTACCCAGTGCCTGTCGCAGTCAGGGCTCCACGAGGGTGGAGAGGATTGAAGAGACTCAGGGACAAATGAGACTTCCCAACTTGGCTGGGGCAATGGAAGCTGAAAACTCTATCAGAGGGAAAGGGGACTTCCTAAATGGCCACATGGCCACTATGTGTGCTCATGACCTCTGGGATGTCTGGGTTGTGAGAACGTCCATCCTGAGAGCAAGGGGGAGGGACAAGGGACACCAGCCAGTCATTTCTATTTCTATTACCTTCTTCTAGGTCTTTCCCCTCCCCAGTAAGCCAACTCGTTAACTGCAGGTTACCAGGCATACCTAAGTGATCTCTCAACCTTTAGCCAGTCTAGAAACGCGAGCAGGTGAAAAGGTGCCTCCACCACGCATCCCTCAAAACAGCTCAAACATAGCCTTCCTGACTCCCCATGCTGAGCTGAGCTGGGGCCTCTCCTATAGCCCCCTTAATCCCAGCAAAGGAGGGGCTGGGTTTTGTGACTTCTTTCCCTTAGAAGCCTGGAGAATTCTTAAGAGACTGTGCCCAGCATTTACTCTCCCTTCTAGTAATAACTTGGCGGGGGTAGAGAAGGGGTGCTGTTGGAACAAGGCTTCTTAAAACTTGGCTGCAGGATGACACAAACACCCCAGAAAGTGCAACATTGTATTGTGTACAAACATATATGTATTTTCCCTGGCAAGGACCACAGCTTTTCATCAGATTCCCAAAGGAGTCTTGACCCAGAAAGTCTAAGGACTTCTGTAACAGACAGAAGATTCCTAACGCATGCTTACATGCTTACAGAATGAATGGCAGGCATGTATACTGGTCACTGTGAGTTTACTACTAAAATTCTGATTTGTTTCCAACTGGCTAAAGGAGTTTTATGTACAAATATCAAAGAGAATGAGAGACATTACAAGAAAACATGAAAAGCAAGCAAATCGCAACAAACAGAAACTTTTGCTGCTTTCCTTACCATCACTCAGACCACTCAGAGCCTTAGCCTGAATTTCAGGTTTGGTAGGAGGAACCGTTTTCTCCTGATCTCGGGTTGGCTCGGGTTCGGCTTTCTTGACCTGGAGTGGACACCCACTGCTGACCAGCCAGGCCTTCAGGTGATCGATGTACTCTCTCCCAAACAGAGTAGAGTCCTCAAAGTTTGGAAATGCGGCAGGAGAGGGAGCTATATCTTGGAGGCCGACGGCTTCTAAGATTTTCTCTTGCCGGAAAGAAGAGGCCAAGGAGAACGTCTGTCCCAAAAGAGCTAAAGACTTCCGGCAGAGAGAATTGGTGGTCTCCAGGGCAATAGCCAAGTCCAGGGGGTTACTGAGGGTCTTCATCTTGACACTCAGCTCGTAGGCATTGCAGGCCATGAGCAGGGGTGTGACACTCTTCAGCAGCCGGTCTTGTAGTCTCATTATGTATTTATCAAAGGGCTTTATGATTTCAAAAAAGCAATTTTTGGTCTTCACAGCACCTTTGTCTAAAAGCATGTTTAAAAACTCGTTATCAACTCTGGGTGTTTTCAAAGCAGAGTGCTTTAAAAATTTGATAGTAAAAAAGCAAAAATCTCTGTGCTCTGGTTTTAAGGAGCATTTGAATGAGGCGAGCGTTTTAGCACAGGTTTCGGTTTCAAGTTCAAAGAGAGTCTGGAAAAGCTGGGAAAATTTAACATCATCTTTTATGGTGTGGAATCCTGCCCATTTGATTATTTCTATCCCAAACCTCGAAAAAACATCAGACTTATCTATCAGATCGAAGCTCATCTTTCTTCTGGGGAGCCGAATATCCTTCAGATTAAGCCCCAAAGGGATTTTCTGAGTGGGGAATTGGACGTCTTCCGTCCCTGGGTTTGTCCCCAGGGTCAGATCAGGACTTGGGGTGGTCTTCTGAATTTGGTCAGTGCCCTGAGTTTTGGGAGTGATACAACTTACAGTGGGCACCTGTTTTGTGCTCACATTTCTCAGCATGACAAGTTTCCCGACCCCTCCTTTAGGTGTGAGCAGGCCTTGAGTCTCCCCCTTTCCTAGGAGGGCACCCTCCTGGTCAACGATGTTTAGACCTCGGCCTCTGCCCTGGACTTGGCTGCTGCCCCGGAGCACAGTGTCTGCCTCTCCTGGACGGTCCACGTCGTAATCCCGACTCTCTTTCTCCAAACACTCTTTCTCAATCAGCCTGGAGGAGCCAAAGTCCCCCAGTAATGCAGAAGGACCAAAACTATACTCCTGTGACCAGGAGGATTCTTGAGAAACTGAATGGCCAAAGTCTTGTTCCCAAGAGCCACGGAGTGCAAATTTCCAGTCCTGAGAACGGAAATGTCCCAATTTCCGGTGGCCGAAGACCTGGTCTCGGGAGTCAGGGTGGGAAAATTCCAGGTCCCGACCACATTCTTTGCGAAAGTAGCTGTCGTCACTTACAGAAGGGTTGCTTGATCTGAAGGAAGGTCCTGGAAATATATCACCTCTCAGGCCTTCTCTCCCAGTGTCTTGAGGATGAACTACAGATCCGCCCAGAGTGTATCTGCTGTTGCTATGAATGTCATCATACATATCTGCTCTGGCTCTTGGGACTGTCCTTAGAAGATCTGAAATAAACAATCCAGAAAGAAACACAAAGGTACTTCAGACCACAGGCTGCAAACGGATAATCCACAGACCACCAGCCAGCAGGGGTGCTTTATCAGTCAGAGTGCATTTTAGAAGCTCATATTCATTGCCAACATTTAAAACGTGTGTGGTTTCACTTAAAAATAGATTTACTACTTATAAAAACAGAAGACCTACAAGTACTGGGCCTGCATTTGCCCTGACGACAGTCCATCGAGGCTGGGCAGCAGTGCCTCTCACTCATTCAGATCTCCTGCCCTGGCTCTGTTTTACAAGCCCTCTTTTAGACTCAGGGAAGGGTATTTGGTCCCCAAATAACCTGGGCTTCTTTACTGCGACCAGAACACCTGTGTGTTTCTACTTCTATCACACAGCAGATGGGTTTTCTAGAGGATGTCTGCTTCCCCTGCTTCCTATGAGGAACTCTTGGCCCACAGTGCCACTGAGGCAGGAGCCATATCTGACACTGCACCCACCACAGCTGGCTGGGCCTTGGCTGAGCATCTGACCCAAAGTTGGCTGATAGGCTCCCTCAGAAAGGTCCATTAGGCCAACCAATTCCTGGAAAAACAGAGACTGAAGCAGATAGGAGGGAAGACAGAAGCTAAACAAGCCACAACAACAGAGGCCACAATGGAAACTAAACACTGTGTACTTTTGTCCTCCTCTGTGGAGAAATAAGAAAAATAGGAAACTATGTTTGCATTTGCTCATTTGTGCATAAAGAAACTGTAAGGGAAATTCCCTGGCAGTGTAGTGGTTAGGATTCCATGCTTTCACTGCTGAGGACCTGGGTTTAATCCCTGCTGGGGAACTAATATCCCATAAGAAGCGTGGTGCGGCCAAGAAGAAAAAAAAGAAACTGTAAGAAGCCAGCAACAGAAGTGAACTATGGGCATATGGGAACAGTGGGCCTCAGGGAGACTTTGCACAGAGTGCCTTTCTTACTTTCTAGCTTTTGAATCAGAATCTATTACCTAGTCAAAAAGTCAAATGTAAGAAAAGGGAGAGAGAGATGCCAAGAAGTAATGATGGGCCAAGAGGCCACAGGAAGCCAGGGCTTTGTATAAATCCAAGTTTATTTGTCCAACCAGTACTTTCTAAGCACCTACAGCATGTGAGCACTGTTATAGGCCCTGAAGTTACAACAGGGAAAGAAGATAGCAAAGACCCCACTTTCCTGGACCTGTCAGTTGAGGGAGCCAAACATAAAAAGTCCTTGAGGTGTAAGGAAGTGCCAGTAAGAAATAAACAGGCAGGAATGTGAGGAGGGAAGGACATTTTTAGACAGGCTGGTCAAGGTGACCAACTCTGAAACACTGTATCTGAGTAGCAGAGACCTGCTGTGGGGGTCAGAACAGGCAGTTGTGGGGAAAGCCTACCAGGCAAAGGGAGTGTGAGGACAAAGCCCTGAGGTAAGACGAGGAGGGGACAAATGTGGCCAGAATGGAACAGAGGGAAAGAGGGGCAAAGTGGTAAGAAGGCAGAACGTAAACTCTGCTACACACTGAAGTCCCTGGGGCATCCTGACTTAATTAACTAGAATGAGGTGTGACCTGGGCATTAGGGTTTTAAAAAAGCCCCCAAATGATTCTAATGTGCACCAAAATTAGGGAACTATTATGACAGAAGATGCAAACAGAACAGGGTGGGTACCAGACCAAGCCAGGCACTTGACAGGACTCTGGGGTTTACTATGAATGAGACAGAAAGCCATGGGGGTGGAGGGTGAGGGAGGGTTGGAGCAGAGGGACGACCTCACTGGCTGCTCTGTGGGGAACAGACCACAAGGGACAAGAGTGGATGTGGATGTTCCAGCAAGGAGTCCACCAAGATAATCCAGACAGTGATGGTTACTGATGGCCTGGTGAGGGTGGTAGCACTAGAGGTAGAGCAGTGGCTGCATTCTACACAACAGGATCTTCCAATGACTTGGTTTACAAGGCATTGGAAAAGTGCAGAGTAGAGCACACGCACAGAGAAAGGCTGACCGATGGACCATGCAGCTCTGTGACAAAGAAACGGTTCCAGAACCATCTAGCACCCTACTGGGTTCACAGTCTCCCCTGCCCCCAACCTTTCCTGAGGTAACTTAAGATATGTATTAATGTTTGAGTCTCTAGATAAAGATAAACCAAGATTCAAATACCCATATATATACACACAGGTTTATGTACATACACATATATATGCATGTACATATACCCCCGTATATGTATATATATATAAAAACACATTAAGTATTCAGGATTCACATATGGCTAAAAGAATTAAAGGATGCACAAAACACCACAGATATGGTTACTTCTGAAGGGTAAGGAAACAGCAAAGAGGCTTTTTACATCTTATTCTTAACTACTTAATTCTTCCCATCTTTTGTAATAGGAATGGTTTTGTCTGCTACTCATTTTTGAAAACTCAGAATCTGGAGACAGCCTCTAAGCCTCAGTTTCTCCAGGTCCAAAGCACATAATAACAGTTATCCCTACCCCAAGCACTTAGGCTTATCCAGCCAACACTGAGAAAGCCTCCTCTACACCTCAGCTGGCTCAAGGGCTGGTGCAGCAGCAAATGGCACAGGCCCAAAGGAGGCCTGGAGGAGGCCAGCCCATGGCAGAGGAGCAAGTACACAGTGCAAAATCAATCTCCAGGCCTACTAGAGCCTCCTGGGGGAAGGCACCTGTGAGCTGAGTCTTAGTGCCTGAGGGAATTAACCATGCAGAGCTGGGATGAGGGATTCAAAACACAGAGAGGCACACAGTATAACTGAAACAACAGGCCCAAAGCAGGGGATGAGGACTAGGAGCCTCGTGTGCTGCGAAGGACCTCCAAGTTGTCCGCAATCTGTGTGGGCACCATTTTTTTTTTTTTTTTTTTGCGGTACGCGGGCCTCTCACTCTTGTGGCCTCTCCCATTGCGGAGCACAGGCTCCAGACGCGCAGGCTCAGTGGCCATGGCTCACGGGCCCAGCCGCTCCGCAGCATGTGGGATCTTCCCGGACCAGGGCACGAAACCGTGTCCCCTGCATCGGCAGGCGGACTCTCAACCACTGTGCCACCAGGGAAGCCCCATGGGCACCATTTTTAATTCTGCTGGCATTATGTTTCAAAACTTTGCAAAAGGAATGTTTTCAGGCAGGGCCTACGTTCAGCAGCTCCACAGGCCCCCCAGACCCTCCTGTCTTGCACATACCAGTTAGCCGGCTGCTCCTGCACTTGTCTGAGGATATAAACCCAAAATGGGGAGCCCCAAGGGTCCAAGCAGGGACTTGGCCCAGCAAGGTTGGCATTAAGAGATCTGTGGGGGTACTTCCCTGGTGGCGCAGTGGTTGAGATTCTGCCTGCCAAAGCAGGGGACACGGGTTCGAGACCTGGTCTGGGAAGATCCCACATGCCACGGAGCAACTGGGCCCGTGAGCCATAACTACTGAGCCTGCGTGTCTGGAGCCTGTGCTCCACAAGAGAGGCCGCGATAGTGAGAGGTCCGCGCACCGCGATGAAGAGTGGCCCCCGCTCCCCACAACTAGAGAAAGCCCTCGCACAGAAATGAAGACCCAACACAGCCAAAAATAAATAAATTAATTAATTAATTAAAAAAAAAAAAAAAGAGATCTGTGGGGAAAGCAGATTTGAGGAAATGAAGCCAGAAGCTGAAAGACCTTTCAGGAGGAGATTATTGCAATAATCCAGGTGAGAACTGATAAGAGCTCAAACCTGGGTAGCAATGGTGGGGATGGAGCCAGGAGGTTTATTTAAGAGCCCATCTTTAGGTGGGGGAAGGTGCCCGGGGAGAAGAACCTCGAGATAATGACAATACCTCCTTCTACATAATGATGTGACATGACAGGTGGACCAAGAGAAAATTTTCTCTCCCCTTAACAAATAAGAAGGTAGGATCTGAGGATTTGCAGATCGGGGTCTTGTCCCAACCCTAAACACACGCTCCATCCCCCCCAAAAAAACAGGCACTTTAATTTACCTTGAGCTTTAAACTGAAGAGCTTCGCCTACAGCCTCACCACTGGGGTCCATATGATATCGGTTAGCCTTTTCCTGCAATACAGCATCAAAAGTCTCCTGTGCAATTCTCCTTGCTGCCATGTTTCTCTGACCTGTAGTGAGAAGTGGGAAACGAAAGACACTAAGAATGACAACTAATTCTCACAGAGTCTGATCTGTTTCACCTACTCCTCAAAGTAACGAGGCAGTAATCCATAATCTGGCATGGTACTTCAGAGGGAAGCCGGATTATTTTAAGGGGAGCTCTGCCCTCATGAACCTCACAGGTGTGTATTGGCTGAGAAGGAGTAAGACAAGCATGTTGATCTTGGATAATTTATTTTGCATCTCTGAGCCCATTTTCCCAGAGTCCCTTAAAAGAAGCTCTATAAAAGCAGTCCTATCTCCGGGGTTGCTGAAGGACTACATGAAGCAACACATATAACTAAACACAACAATGTAGGGCAGTAGGAGCATAACCCTTGCAAATGGTGGTTAGGAAAGATGCGATCTTTCCCATTTCCATTTTCCTATTTTCACAGACATGGCGAAGAGGCTCTGAGAGCTAACTTCCCCTCTGAGAGAGGTGTCTCAACGAGTGAGTGGAGAAATCCCTGACCAGTGATGATGACCTACTGACAGAGCTTGTTCTGTGCCAGGTCCTGTTGCAGGGGAGGGACTCCCACAATCCCGTTTACTTCTTGCTAGAACCCAATAAAGAAGTGGGTCCTATTATGAATGAAATTACACAAAAATGCAAAAGGGAGATCCAGGCTAAGTGACCCATCCAAGGTCAGCCAGTCCAGACTGAAACCTGGCAAAAACAGGGCACTGGAAGTGGGGACAAAGCCCTGAAGACTGAGTAGAAAAAGACTGAGAAGCAACACTGAGCAATCCAGTGGCAGTGTCCTTACCCACCAAGGTTTCCCTTCCATCTTGAAACCTCCAGCCTCAAAACCCAAGTCTTCCCCTGCCTTATAGTCATTTCTTATAACCATCACCCCCTTTTACTATCCTTCAGCCCTTTTCCCGGGGCTCCCTTGTTCTCTACTACCGAAGGGCAGGGTCTCCTGGCCAGGTGGCCCGGGATCAATTCAAGTGACCTAACCTTTCCGTGCCTCCGCTTCCCCATCTATGGAATGGGCAGCTCATGATGGGGGTTGCTGTGGGGACGGAACCAGTTAAAAAATGGCAAAGAGCCGGATTCAGCGCCCCGCCGCCGTTATCGCCCCACCAGAGGGGTCACTCCCGGCTCAGGTTGAATGAATGAACGACCGAACGAATGAACCCCTTCGGGCGCGGCCTGCCTCCTACCGGCCTCCGAGGACTAAGAAAAGGGGGCGTCGGGCCCGGCAGGCCGCAGACAGCCCCCCAGGCCGACCCGGACGCGACGCGGCCGCCGCGCAGCCAAGGGCCGAGCCCGCTGCGCCATCGTGGAGACCCGGGATTCCCGGGGTCCAGCCCAAAGCCCCCACCCCGGGGCCCATCCGTCGACAACGCCCTGGCCCGGACCTCACCCCGAGCCCACCGCGTGCGGAGCCGCCCCCACCGCCGCCTCTGGTTCCTCACCCGCCGCCGCCACCGCGCGAGGCGGGGACATGCAAATGAGCCAACGGTCTCCGCAGCGCCGCGCCGCGCAGGCGCAGGCCGCCGCCGAGCCTTGATGCACAGGCGCAGGCAGCCGCCGCCAAACCCTTCTGCGCAGGCGCACTGCCCTGTCGTCAGGGCGGACACTCCTGAGGTAAAAAATTTCGCTGCCTGGAGTGGCGGCAACGGGAACCGCCCGAAAAAGGAGACAAAGACGACGCCGCCGCACACCTGTTGGCTCCCTCGGCTTTACCTGCACTCACGGTCACCCTTGGTCACCCCGGGAGCAGTTCACAGGGCTGAGGGAGGCCGAGGCGAGGCGGCGCCAAAGCGCCTGCGCACGTACGGCGGCCGAAAGGGACCAGAGGCGCCGCAGCCGGTGACAGCCGCGAACCTCACCGTTTCTCCACGTGGCCGCGGAGACCGGGTGAGGAGCGGTGGCCGCAGAGCCCCCTCGTGCGCGAGGCAGGGAGTGGACGCTGCGGGGTCGGACTAGTGATTGTGGCGCGCCTTTCTGGGACTTGGTTTTGGGTAATGAAAGATCGTTACGGAAGCCGCCCAGGGACAAATTCACCCACTTCCCTGCTCTTCGCTTTTTTTCGTTTATTCATTCTTTCACCACTTATGTATGTACCGACTGCCTGCTGCATGTCCGGCCCCATCCTAGGCATTGGGGGAGAAGGTGTTTAACAAAACGGGCCCCAGCTCTCATGCAGGTTAAATATCATTGGGGAGGAGACTAGACAGTAAAAGCAAATAAATAGATGAATCATTTTGTTCCATGTTGAGATAGTATTAAAATACTAAGAGTGATGCGGTAGGAGAGCGGGGCTGCTTTAAACAAAGTGGTTATGAAGGATGTCCCTTGGGTAGCTGGGAAGAATGAGAAAGAAGCGGGGAAGCCCAGGTGAGAAGGTGTTGGTAGAGAAAGTGTTGGTAAGGGAACTGGGTTTTGTTCTGAGAGGGTTGGGAAGCCACTGCAGGATTTTGAATAGGTGAATGAGGCGGTCTTTGTGCTTTCAAGTCTCCCTCGGGCTGCCTTGTAGAGCACAGAGGCACAGGGTATGGCAGGGAGGAAGCAGGTGAGGCCACCTGAGCCAGGGTGGGTGTGGCAGGTGGAGGAAGATGAATCATTCAGGGTCCCCGGTTTGTCAGGGCACCGTTTTCTTGATAAGCAGAACCAAGGCTTAGAGAGGGAAGCAGGCTGTCAGTTGAGAGCCTTGATAATTCCCTCCCCCTCAGCATGCCTTGGACGCAGCGTGGGGGTCGGTAATGCTGTTTCCTCTCCTGGCCTGGCCTGTTCGCCAGGTGGCTCCCAGATGACCATTCCCAAGCACCATCTTTCTCATGAGCTGTACTTTCATCCTTGTCCCTGCCCTCCACAGGTCTGTGCTGGACCCAGGGGACCCTGAAGGACTGTCCTAAGTGGTGGTTCCAGAGCCAGACATTGACCTCCCCAGCTCAGGGATCTCAGGGCTGAGCAGAGGGAGATTCTTGGGGCGGGGAGGGTGGGGGGGTACTGAGAGTACACAGACTCTGTCTGAGTAGCTAGGGAAGGCTCCCATGAGGAGGCGGCCTGGAAGGGCTGGTGGAAGCTCCGCAGAGGACGTAGGTGGAGGTAAAGTGTTAATGAGACAGGATAGGATCCTGGCCTTCAGATTCCTCATCCTTAAAGTAGGCACAATGACATTCCCCTTTAGGACTGTGCTTCTATGACCGAGTGGCCACTCATCAATGGCCCACTTGGGTCTGAAGCATGGCCAGAGTAGCAGAAGCAACGTCTGGTGGCAGAGCCAGAAGCAGAGTCCCTCCAGCAGCATCCAGCCCCTCAGAGCTGGCCAGGAGCATCCCACCACCACCAGCCTGGGCTCCCCAGTGAGAAATTCTTTATCTTGAAACAGAAAATCCTTATTCTTTTCCTCCACCTTTGATTTGGAAATCCTTAGCAATCCCTAAACAGGCTCCCTGTTCTGGAGAGTAAAGAGGGGGATATCTGCAAGGGAGTGAGGTGAGGTGTTTGATGCCTTATGTCTGCCACCCCCCAGTAAACTGGCTGAATTACCTCTTAAGCAACAAAGGAAAAGAACAACTAGGTGATGTTTATTGAGCTCTGTGCCAAATCCTGTTCTAAGTGCTTTGTAGAGATTGATGGGTTGAATTTTCACTGCAGCCCTCTAGGTAGCCCCTGTGTCACGCGTGAGAATTGACCAACGGTGAGGTTAAGTGTAAGGCTGGGGATTTGAGCCCCCCTGGCTGGCCCTGGAGCCTGTCCTCCCCATGACCCCCAGCCCAGGCATATGCACAAACACAGATAGAATAGTCACATCCTGTGCTGCCCCCACAAAGAGAAGTGAGGGCATGGGTGGCTTGTTTCCCTCACAGCCCAAATTTGCACATTCCCATGCCACGGTCCTAGTGCCCCCATGTGCCTTTGTCCCCCTAATGCACTTTCTGTGCTTTCTACGGTGCATGATTCTGGAATGGACTCGGGACCAGAAAAAAACAAAACTGTTTTAAAAGACGATATTACAACAATCAAGAAAGTCCATCGTGTGCTATATGTTAGAAAATAGCATTGTATCAGTGTTAAATTTCTTGTGTTAAATTTCAGTTTTGTGTGAATGTATAAGAGAGTGTCCTTTTCATGCTGACATCTGTAGGAGGAAGGGGTCCCATGACTGGAACACACTCTCAAATGATGTACGTGTCACACACTCGTAGGCACACACTCACTCACATAGATTAACATGGCAAAATGTTAACAATTGGTGAAGCTAGGAGATCCTTCCGCTTATACAGTGCTCCTTGTACTATTCTTGCAACTTTACTGTAAGTTTGAAAAGTGATGTATTTCTCATTTTTTTAATTTTTGGCCATACCACGTGGTATGACCACAGTGGTCTTCAGAAGCTTCTTTGCTTTCTGGTCTCACTTGATGCTCCTGGCTTCTCTGGCCCATTTCCTGCCCAGACCTGGAATCAACTCTTACTCCAGGAGCCCTGGCTTCTTTGGTGGGAAATGGTGTTTAGAGACCACAGTTGGTATTCAGGGTGCTGCTCATTGCTGCTGTGGTGTCATTTCCTCCAGGCATTTTCAGTTCATATTAATAGAAAATTGGTTATTTGCTCAAGAGAAAATACATCATGAGTTCATATCATATTTCCAGTTCAAATTTAGGAGTTCTGAGTTTTTACTTCTTTGATTTTATGTTAGAATCTTTTTTCTTTTATGCTCATTCCTAATGATATAAACATTATTACTTATTTGCTACATCTATAACTGTTTCTGAATAATATTTCTAATGTGGTTTCCAATAATATGATTACTGAAAACTGTTGAAGATTTTCTTTTGCAGTTTTATCCTTAGGGTAGATCCCAGTAAGAATATACAGTCATATCACTGTGTTTTAAAATTGCATGAAATGGGCTTCCCTGGTGGCGCAGTGGTTGAGGGTCCGCCTGCCGATGCAGGGGACATGGGTTCGTGCCCTGGTCCGGGAAGGTCCCACATGCCGCGGAGCGGCTGGGCCCGTGAGCCATGGCCGCTGAGTCTGCACGTCCAGAACCTGTGCTCCACAATGGGAGAGGCCACAGCTGTAAGAGGCCCACGTACCGCAAAAAAAAAAAATTGCATGAAATGATCTGATCCATGTAGAAATACTGTTAGGTTCATGGCTTTCATTTTGCTCTTGATTTTTAGGGATTGCTTTTATTTATTTATTTTTTTGGTTATTTTGGCGTATTTCTTTTCCTAATAACATAAAGCATTTAGCTGAGTTCCAAATTCAAACCTGTAAAACAAAGTATGTTAAGAGAGAATAATGCAGCTTCTATTCCTGCTCTCACCATCCTTTTCTCTACCTCCCCTTACAGGTAACTATTTCTATTAGCTTTTGATTTACTTTTCTTTTTATTTATTATTATTTAGTAATAATAAATATTTATAGTAACAGTAATAAACACTTATTGTTATTATTATTATTTTTTTTTTTTTTGCGGTTCGCAAGCCTCTCACCGCTGTGGCCTCTTCCGTTGCGGAGCACAGGCTCCGGACGCGCAGGCTCAGCGGCCATGTCTCACGGGCCCAGCCGCTCCGCAGCATGTGGGACCCTCCCGGACCGGGACACGAACCCGTGTCCCCTGCATCGGCAGGCGGACTGCCCTTATTGTTATTATTTAATTAAATAAGTATTTAATATCATTTTTTATTTTATATTTTATTAGTACAATGGTATGCTATCATAACATATTATTTCATTGGATAAGTACATTTGAAGTACATAACTATATAATAGAGTAATATGTGAATAATATTGTTTATATTGTAATATTATAGTATATTATAATTATACAACATACAATATAATATTATTAAGATATTTTATATTTATTTTACTGTTACTACTTTTTACTATAAGGACATACATTATGTTAACATTCCCCATTTTTTAGAAAAAATATACTGAACTACCTGCCCTTGTCTGTACTTTTAGATATTCTGTGGATGTTGGGAGATCACCCTTTCCTGTGACTCAGGTTGTAAGAATTTTTCCAGAGTGGTTATAGGCTCTGGCCCCTTGGTAGATGCTCCCTAAGTGGTAGCCAGGTTCTCATTTGCCCTCTGACCCTTGATGATGCTTACTTCTCACCTTCTCAGCTTGGGAGCAACTACTGGGTGCCCTTGACCCCACACAGTGGAGATGAAGATGGCCTCCAAGCACATCACCCAGGAGACCTTTGATGCAGCCGTTCGTGAGAACATCGAGGAGTTTGAGCTGGGGCCAGAGGAGGCAGTGAAAGAGGCCGTGGAGCAGTTTGAATCACAAGGTAGGCCAGTGTGGCTCGGTATCAGCGCTGGTCTGGCTCTTTGCCCAAGAGTCGCCTCCAGTCCATGGCTCTTAATGTGAAAAGAGTGGTATCCTGCCATGACCACATCCCTCCTGGCAATGACAGCCCTGGGCACTATCTTCTGTCTACACTCTGCCCCAGGCATGCTGGCCACCCACTCCCACCTCGCTGGAGCCCACCCTCTACTTGCCTGGACCTTACCCTGACATCTGCAGGGCTGGGTCCTTCAAGGTGGGTCTCATTTTAACTGTCGCTTCCTTGAAGAGACTTTTCTTGACCACCTCCCGAGAAACAGGGCCACCTGTCTCCCTGCCCGACCTGCACCCCAGCTTGAGTTCATGGAGGCAGAAGGGGAGTTGGTCACCAGCCTCTGGAAAC